GGAAATTGCATGAACAGAGACGAAGTGGATGAGGGTCAGCGAGGAATTCACGGACATAGAGAACTCCGAGAAGAATATTATGAACATTCTAATGAATCAGGGGAGTCGCACCATCAGGAATCAAATGATAGTGGGACTTCACCTCATTCGTACGTTCTTACACAGGAAGGAGAGATGCTTCGTCGTAGAGAACAGGTACAATAAAGTTCTTGTCCGTTATTTCTCCCTATGATGACGTGGCGGTTTAGGAAAGAAGAATGCGTGAGCTAGCCAAGGATGTGGATCTGACTAGCCAAATGGAGCTGATGGCTAATTTTGAAGCGAGCTTTTGAATCAACGATCTCCTCTTATTGTGCCTATTCCTCAGGTTATACGTGTCAGGCATGCCGGTATAAGATAAGCTAATTGTTGAGCAGTACAGGTCTATTTTTAGTGTATATGTTACTGTATGGAAAAGAAAAAAGTTACTGTGCGCATGGACATCAGTTGATCACCTGGACAATAGTAGTGAAATAAGGGGTAAATTTCATCCCTTATGCGATTTGTTTTAGTTCTTGGATGTTAGAGGGTTAAGGGTAGTGGGCACGATGGTTGGGGCGGGCGATTGTTTCCAACGTCATTGGTGGAATGAGTGGTGGGTGTGGCCAAACGCCCTCTCGCAGCCCTTCCACCAATGACGCTGGCAACGATCAGCCGCCTCCAGCAATAGTGCCTACTGCTTTCAATAGAAATTATACGTAGATCCCAAGAGATTAAGCTGTTTGGGAGCGTAATAATTAGCTGATAGCGGGTTAAAGTCTCGGGTTTGGTCCTAGGTTGCTAGTGTTGTTAGTTAATGATCCTGTGATATAAGTGATGGCTCCTTTCTTCTCTTCCTAGGAAGACGGTCAAGACAATCGCATTTTGCCGCTAAGTCACGCACGCCAAGGGCGCAGCGTTGTCCTAATTTGCGTTAGTCTCTCAAATGGAGCATCGAAAATCACTAGACTACGGCATCGTAGACGTTCATGACTATTTTCGGTTATACATTATTTTTTATGCGGATTTACGGTATAGAAGCCGCGGTCATTTGGGCGAGCGACCGTCGCCACGCGACGCTTATCAGCGCGGTGAATCACGATTGTCTTGTCACATACCCCTTCTCCTAAAGTCCTGTGGTCAACGAAGTTTCCGCGTGCTAAATCACTGTCCTTGAGAATATCCGCTTCCGCTTTACAAACCCGAGTTTGCGGAAATCATTCTGACATTTGCTTCAATTCTTCATGTTTTTATTCCATTAAAACCCCAAAGAGGTCATTATCTCTTAGTTTTTTTTCTCTTTCTTTTCAAAAATGTTGCTAGTTGAGTTGATGCAGTGGTACAGGTACAATGTAAGCTACTAATGTTGTTAACGAAACTGAACATTATTAATGTAGACGTTTTATATATGTATGCAATCTTCTTTTACGGTCTTTAT